TTAGACTGCAGAGACTGCCCAAGCATAATCTTGGCATTCACATGCTCTCGACCAGAACCCCGACTAAAGTCTTGTTTGAATCTGCAGAACACACCATGCTTTTACAGCCCAACAGCTATCTGCATTTAAGTCTACCTCTGGAGTATGCAAGCCTTCAAGTTCATACAGCATTCTTCAGCCAAACAATACAAAGGCTGCGACACCTACATGCACTCAAAACTTCATTGGCAACTTTTTGACTGACTGGTTCATCCTATTTCTACACATTTCCCAAATCTCCAAACATGCGTGACTGTGTTAATTGATTTAAAATATAATGTGCAGGGGAAAAGACCATCTGAATTGTGAACACATTTCTTAAATCCCTGGCCACAAACAATTCTCATGCACCAGGAGGTAGGAAGAAAAGCAAACAGGAGTCTTTGAGCCCCAGCACCTCTCACTTTGAAACTCAACCACTGGATTTTCTTAGCAGGATTATTAAACAAAACAAAAGATGATGAAATCCAAGGGATTAAAAAAATATTTACAAACAACACAGCCTTTGCCTGCTGTACTTCACAGTAAAAAGAGCCAGAGAACAGCACGCAGCAAAGCAAGGAGCCAGTAATGACAAGAATGGATGATCAAATAATCCCCTTTGTGTCATTTACAACTTGTTGTTAGCATATCTTCCCTTGCCACATCAGAAGTTTTGCAACATTCCAGTAAACCCCATCAAATTTTCCTTCCCTGCCTAAAATAACATCATCAACTCAAGTCAGATCTTTGGTCCAACTTAAGTCCCAACTCTAAACATTTAAATTGTGTGTGTGTGTCAATTTACTAAAGCCAATTTGCCAGGGCTGCTGGCAGAATTCACATTCTCCATTCAAGATGCAGAACCAGGCCAAAATGCAAAGCCCAACCAACACCAATGAGAACAGTTCCCCTTACTCCATTCCTACAGGCACATCTCTTCAGATCTCCAGAGACAGAAAGCTGGCTCAATCAACGTGGTGAAAAGGCCGCCACTTCAGGTATTATTTGTATAGCCACTCCCAAGATCTCTGCACTAAACAGTGACTGTGGGATGCAGCGAGGCAGCATCAAGTCCATATACAGCGGTACCTCGGGTTAAGTACTTAATTCCTTCCGGAGGTCTGTTCTTAACCTGAAAGTGTTCTTAACCTGAAGCACCACTTTAGCTAATGGGGCCTCCCGCTGCTGCTGCCGTGCCGCCAGAGCACGATTTCTGTTCTCATCCTGAAGCAAAGTTCTTAACCCAAGGTACTATTTCTGGGTTAGCAGAGTCAGTAACCTGAAGCTTATGTAACCCGAGGTACCACTGTACACTTATCAAACCATCCAAGATACAGTTTCAACCTCTTTGTTTTGCACCAGCCCTGCTCCTCTGCGTTTAACATCAACTTGGCATAATTTAATTGGTGAAGTCCCCACGAACACAACATGAGAGGTAGGGGGAAGCTTCATCAGCTGAATTCCTGCAGCTCGTGCTCTTGGTTCCATTCCGGCATTTGATTCTTCCCTTGGCAGGGTTCCTTGCAGCAAAACTATATGAACATTTTTCTGTTTGTTTTGCAATCAAACAATTAAGAACATCGATCATAGAAACCACAACGCAAAAACTAACCCGCAGTTTACAACAGCTCAAACTCATCAGATGAAAGCTCTTATGGGAACGTAATATCTTATACCGAGTCAGTCCATCCAATTCCGTATTGTCTCCGTATTGGAGAGGTCAGGGATCAAACCTGGCACCTTAAATGCAAAACAGGTGCTCATCCCCCCCCCAAGCTACAGTGCTTCTCCTCTCCTAAATAAAGATGACTTTACATATCTTCACCTACTTTCAAGGATGGTCCTGTGTGGTGGGGCTTCCTTTGAAAAAGGACTGGAAACTCCAGCTAGCTCAAAACAGGGCAGCAAGATTCCCAAAGGGGAGGGTGACAGATACCACACCATAGTATGCCAGTGTTTTTTTTCATCTGCACTGGTCCAATTCAAAGTGCTAGTATTAATTTTTTAAGCCCTATTTGGGACCAGTATTATTGGCATCTGTCCATCTCAGAAGACAATGGAATACGCCTCCAGATAGGCTCACTGAACACCTACACTTTCAGCACCAGGTATATATCTCTTCACTCACACATACTGTTTAACAACTATGGTTTTACTGCATTTTAGTCCTTAGATCAGTTTTGTGTCCACTCACCCCTTTCCTGGTTGTGTTTCACATTTTTATTTGTATCTTTTACTGCCTCTTGATGGTTTTAATGTTTTTGGTGCTGGTTCAGTTTCTTGCATTGACTGTTTTCGAATGTCTGATTGTAGCCTCATTTTATTGATTTTAAAACTAGTGAACCACCCAGAGTGGTGTACAACAATTTAAAATCACCACCCACGCAATATATGTATGTTATCAACAGAGCTCAACAAGACATGGTTTTTCATTGTAACGCACCCTTTACCCACCCCATTTCCCTTGTGGCAGAAAAATAAAGGGAAAGGATACCATTTTTTTTCTTTTTCTTTTAAAAAAACAAAACAACATACAGCGCCCGCGGAGTATCGAACTGCCATTAAGCAACTGGTGAATCTGCAAAGATTTTCTGAAGTAACCACTAGGCTAAGCTGGCCCACCATATATATATTTTCAATCCTCCACAAGCAGGCAGCCCAGGCCCAAAGCAATTGGGCTGAACTGCGCTTGAGGATTCAGCATGAAAATGGTATAGTCCAGGGGTCAGCAAACTTTTTCAGCAGGGGACCAGTCCACTGTCCCTCAGACCTTGGGGGGGGCGGACTATATTTTTTTGGGGGAAATGAACAAATTCCTGTGCCCCACAAATAACCCACAGATGCATTTTAAATAAAAGCACACATTCTACTCATATAAAAACACCAGGCAGGCCCCACAAATAACCCAGAGATGCATTTTAAATAAAAGGACACATTCTACTCATGTGAAAACACACTGACTGTCCACGGGCCGGATTTAGAAGGCGGTTGGGCCGGATTCGGCCCCCGGGCCTTAGTTTGCCTACCCATGGTATAGTCCATCCAAGGGGTAGGGATGATGCACTCACAGGACAGAAAATACCGCGAAATGAATGGGCAATTGAAATAACCGGACAATTCATAGCTCACAGACAAGCAGAAAGTAGACTGTAGGCCACTATCCCATTTAGAGTAGACCGCCCTGGGGGATCAGCAGCTCTCCATATCGCTTCAGGACTCTCCATGTCAATCAACCCAAGGCGGCACAGTCCATGCTCAGGATGGTGGAAGTTGTAGTCTTACAACAATATGATACCTCAAGGACTGCCTCCTTCCATATGAACCTACCCGGACCCTGAAATCATCTTCTGAGGCGTTTCTTTGTGTGCCTCCTCCATGAGAAGTCCGGAGGGTGGCAACACGAGAACAGGGCCTTTTCTGCGGTGGCTCCCCATTTGTGGAATACTCTCCCCAGGGAAGTTCTCCTTTTATACACCTTTAGGCTCCAGTCAAAACCGTTCCTTTTCAACCAGGCCTTTGGGAATGGGAGGGATTATCGGTTTCTTGCTGCTCTTATTTTTACTATGTTTTCATTACAGGTAGGTAGCCGTGTTGGTCTGCCGTAGTCGAAACAAAATAAAAAAAATCCTTCCAGTAGCACCTTAGAGACCAACTAAGTTTGTTATTGGTATGAGCTTTCATGTGCATGTATCTGAAGAAGTGTGCGTGCACACGAAAGCTCATACCAATAACCAACTTAGTTGGTCTCTAAGGTGCTACTGGAAGGAATTTTTAAATTTTGTTGTTTTTCATGTTTTTAAATTATGTTTTTATACGGTCAACCGCCCCGAGATCTGCGGATGATCTGCAAATTTACAAAGTTCTTGAACAGACAGCTGTGCTCATCCAGATGTTGCTGTACTTCAACTCCTCTCCTCCTTCCCCACTGGCCATCCTTGCGGGTGGGCAACATCTGGGGGGGGGGCAAAGGTTCCCCACTCCTGCCATAAGGCACTTCTTATGTTTTTAAGGAAAGACATTTGGGATCTCTGGAGCAATGCCCTTCGGCAAGTTTTGACACACGGCGGGGGTGACCTGCTGGGGATTTAAGTCACGTTAACTCGTCGAGACTGAATGAGAACAAGTCCCGCTCCGTCCAGCACCATCTCCCGCCTCCTCCTTCGCAGGCAAAACCCTCCCCTCCTCTCTCTCTCTCACACACACACATCCACTGCAATGTGTAACCCAAACAAGGCGACATCGTTTAACTTTGCCCTAACCGACTCGAGAGTAGAGCTGTCTCTCCACCGCCCAGCTGGCAAGCAATTGCTAACGCGGCTCAGAAGCGCCCTGCGCCAGCCGCGCAAAAACACGCGTCGCAAGGGCGGCTCTGCAAACATGCGCCCTTTTCCCGTTGCAGCCTGGGCTTGGGGGGCGGAAAGGGGGCAGAGAGGGCGGCCGCCGACATCTTCAAGGGCAGCTAATCCGCGCCCCAAAGAGTTCTTAATGGGCCCGTTTCCTTGAAGGCGCGCGTGGCCCGAAATCTCGGCGCAGCCGACGATCAGAGGAGCAGAAACTCCTCTCTGGCCCCATATCCCAGACCCAACTCCCACAACGTTTGGAACAATGCAAAGAACTGAGCTTTTGTCGATCACACACACACCCCACACAAACACACCAAACCCCGCCCGCCCCCCGGCGACCGACTCCGATCTGCATTGACCCGGAGACCAGGAATTAATTAATTAATCAAAAACACGCGGCTAATTAATGAAATAATCCCGCCCCGAACGAAACCCGAAAATCAACAAGTTTGCGCACATAAGTTTCTCTCCTCTCTCTTATTTCTTCCAACTTGGAACCCCCTTTCTTGCTTGCAAAACTGGTTGAGAGATTCCTTCCTGGACGCCTTCCCTCTTCCTTTTCTTTGCTTCTCCCCCCCCCCCCCCCCCCAATAAACAGAAATAGAAACAAAACAGAACATACGGATTCAAACTTACCTTCCGTGCTCCAAACAACTCCTGGCCAGACCGAAACCAAGAAGAACCCCATGCAAAACCAGCAGGGGCTGGGAATGGGCCCCATGGTTTTTTCATTGCAAATCCCAGCTCATAATTTCGTCCGGGGAAGAGAAGGAAGGAAGGTGGGTGGAGATTTTTTGTTTTTTATTTTTGTTTTCTCCAACCGCCTTGGCAATCGTGCCCGGTTTGTTTTCTCGAGCTTCGCTTCCCCCTTTGCACTTTTCTTTGCAACCCAACTTTTCAACCCTTTTCACTTCCTTTACCAAAAAAAAAAAAAAAAGGCACTACCAGAAGCCACCACCTCTTCTCACTCTCGCTCTCTCCCACCAGCACCAGGCGTCGGGAACGCGCTCCGAGCGCGCTCCGGAGCAGGATTCCTGCTCCCTCGGGAGTGGCAAACGAGTTCTTCGTCGGAGCACGCCAAAGCCGTTCTCTGCCTCGTGGGAAATCAAAGCTGGAGAGAGGAGAAAACTTTGCGAAACGTTTTGCTTTGCCTCCTTGCTGCTGAAGGTGGAATTCCTTTCCTTCTCCTTGGGCGATTTTTTTGGACACTTTCCAGTTCAGAGCATCGACCTTGAATGGACAAAGAGAAGGGATATATATTTCTTGGAATTAAATTAAATGCAGGCTACGCTTGCCAAATAATTTAAGATGGAGGGGGCGGTGGGGAGAGGAAAGTATATAAATCTGGAGTGGGGGGGGTTTGGAGGGGGGAGGAAGAAACAGCTGTGTGATAAGTAGAACTGTCCAATATTTCAAAAGACCTTAATTAACTGATTAGGAGGCAAATAATTAATATTGGTTGTTTGAATACTGTAAAATACATGATTTCAGACCGTGACCAAAAATCGGTATACGTAGTTGCCCTTCTGAAGGACCTTACGATTTAATAAAGCACATGTGATTTCTTGAGAAATCACAATCTGCTCGGGCCAGCTAGCAGCGGAAACCATAATTTAGAATCATAGAATTGTAAACTTGGAAGGGACCTCTAATCCAACCCCCCTGCAATGCATTTGAAATACTGTATCGGATTACAAAAATCCTAAAAGCAAGAGTCAAAGGAGCCTTAACCCTTAACATGCTGGTAGCTCACAGCACTCTGGATGTTGCCTTACGTCAAGTCAATTGGCCCATCTAGCTTCCTGTTGCCACACTGGCGGGCAGCAGCTCTGGTTTCAGGCATAAATCTCCTACCTGTGGATGCTGGGGATTGAATTCATATTAAAATGCAGCCTCAGCAGTCAACTTTTACATTGCAGTTGTATATAATAGGGCTTAAGCTCAAAATAGGGATGCGGGTGGCACTGTGGGTTAAACCACAGAGCCTAGGGCTTGCCGATCAGAAGGTCAGCAGTTCGAATCCCCATAACAGGGTGAGCTCCCGTTGCTCGGTCCCAGCTCCTGCCAACCCAGCAGTTCAAAAGCACATCAAAGTGCAAGTAGATAAATAGGTACCACTCCGGCGGGAAGGTAAACATGCTAGCCACATGATCCGGAAGCTGTACGCCAGCTCCCTCGGCCAATAAAGCAAGATGAGTGCCGCAACCCCAGAGTCGTCCGCCACTGGACTTAACAGTCAGGGGTCCCTTTACCTTTAAGCTCAAAATAAGTCTGTACCGGGCTGCAGCTTGAACCACTTAAAGCTGACAACTTATTATTTATTACATTTACAACCCAGCATGTATACTTCTCGTTTTATCCTCACAACAACCCTGTGAGGTAGGTTAGGCGGAGAGTGAGTGAGTGAGTGGCTCAACATCACCCAGTGAGCTTCATGGCTGAGTGGGGATTTGAACCTTGTTCTCCCAGATCCTAGCCTAGCCCTCTAACCACTGCACATTTCTAACGTACTGTAAATCTAAAATGTACTTGGGAGAGATCAGCAGTCATGTAGTAGACGAATCAATCTAAAATGGGAAGGACTGTGAGATTTCTGGAATAGCCAAGGTTCAGCTCCAGGACTTGTTGACAAGGCTCAAACCCCATCTGCCCTATGCATTTAAAGCAGTATCATACCACTTTAAAACTGCCCTCAGCCCCAATTGTGGGAAGCATAGTTTGTTAAGGGTGCTGAGAGTTGTTAGGAATCCCTTTCCCCCTCACAGATCCATTTTCCTAGCGTTGCCTGGAAAGAATGATTTTTATTTCTATTTTTGGTTAAGCCACTCTGAAAATTGTAGCTCTGTGAGGGAAATAGAGGTCTCCTAGCACTTTTCCGCACCTTTTTCAAACTACAGTTTCCAGGGCCCTTTGGAGAAAGTTGTTACCGTTTAAACAGATATGATAGTACTTTAAATGCATAGTGCAGATGGGGCCTCGGTTCTGCAAAATGATATATGAGCATTTATATACCATTTTAGAAAGATCAAGGCACTTTGCATGCTAAGTACTGTACAGTAATCCTTACAAAAACCCCTGTAATTATTGTACTTCCCATTTTGCAGAAAGGGAGGCTAAGATAGAGGAGAGGCTTACCTAGCAACTTCATAGCTGAGATGAAATTCAGGTCACAATCCTACACCCATTTCCTGAAAGTAAAACCACTTGTACTCAGTGGGACTTACTCTTGAGTTAATAGGAATTTCCAGATTTCTTAGCACAATCAATTGACCGGGACTTGGCACCGTTAATGTGAGATACTCATGCAGATGGCAGTGCCTCTGGGCACGTGAAGGCTTCCAGATTGGAGGCTGCCTGCCGTTGGGCAAGCTTGAGCCCTGGGCCCTTTGCACTTGCAGGAACAAAGCAGTTCAAAATGTTTACATTTTTAGTCAATCACGCAAACCCATCTGACTATGAAAAGAGACAGAAGAATGACAATGTAGAAGATGAGTATTCTCCGGTGGGGGTGGAGGAAGAGTTAAAAGCCAGCACAATGCAGGACTGGAATACGCCCCCCCCCCAAATGACCTGATGAAGAACAACACACAAAATACGCCCCCTGCGAAAGGGTTCCGGCAAGTACGTAAGTACAGTGGTACCTTGGGTTACATACGCTTCAGGTTACAGACGCTTCAGGTTACAGACTCCGCTAACCCAGAAATAGTACCTCAGGTTAAGAACTTTGCTTCAGGATGAGAACAGAAATTGTGTGGAGGCAGCAGCGGGAGGCCCCATTAGCTAAAGTGGTGCTTCAGGTTAAGAACAGTTTCAGGTTAAGAGCAGACCTCCGGAACGAATTAAGTACGTAACCAGAGGTACCACTGTAAATTTGAAAGGAGATGTAGAACTCAGGGAAGTAGCCATAATCATTAATTGGTGCATGGTCCCGATAGAAAGCTTTCTTGTCCACACCCTGAAGAAGTCAACAGGAGAGCTGTGCAAGAGGTCCTGCTTCCAGGGAGGGGCATGTCACTCCCAGTTGCGACAGCTTCGCTGGCTCATTTACAGGCGTGATTTAAAGTGCCCTGAATGGCCGAGGATGAGTATTTACCTAAAGGACTTCCTTCTCCCTGTAGGAACCTGTCCAAATCTTGAGCTCTCCCCGAAGGGCCCTTCTCTCAGTCCCTTTGATATCTGAGGTGTGTTTTGAACAAGGGTCAAGAGGTGGGGGGGGGCCTTCTCAGTGGTGGCACCCCCACCTTTGGAAGGGGCACACACACACCTTCATCCAGGCAGGCAAGAGGCATTATCTCAGGTCAAGGTTACATTCCAGCCAAAAAGAAGTGAGGGGTCTGAGAAGTGAGAGGCCAGAGAGGGCATGGCTTAAGGGAGAGTCTCAGAGGTCTGGAGATATTTCCCCCCTGGCCTAAGGTTCTCCCCTGACTGCCCCAATTGGCTCTGTTCAGTCATTCATCTCAGGGACCCAAGGCGTGTACAAACCCATTCCTCTTTCCCAACACTCCAGGCAGCTAGTGCTTATCATTGTGCTATGACAGGCTTCCACCAATTTATTATTTTCCCTTGTGGCCTAAGAGGGAGTTACATGTGCAGAGCCTCCAGCTGTAGGAACCCTCTACCTGGAACGTAGAGCTGATGTCGGAACAGGTTTAGTCTGTGAGAGTAGAGAAAATGTTTCCTCCCCTGGCCAAAAGCCTTGAACTGAATAGGAGAAAATATTTCTCCTTGGATGCTAATGGTGTGCTTTTTATTTTTGCACTTGCAAGGAAGCTTGCTGCTCCTTTCCCTGGTGTGCAGATCATAAACCCGCCAAATGGCCTTTTTATGTCTGTATTCCCCTTTAAAAAAGATATACAGTGGTACCTCGGTTTAAGTACTTAATTCATTACGGAGGTCCGTTCGTAACCTGAAACTGTTCTTAACCTGAAGCACCACTTTAGCTAATGGGGCCTCCTGCTGCGCCACGCTGCCAGAGCACGATTTCTGTTCTCATCCTGAAGCAAAGTTCTTAACCTGAAGCACTATTGCTGGGTTAGCAGAGTCTGTAACCTGAAGCGTATGTAACCTGAAGCGTATGTAACCTGAGGTACCACTGTATAGGGAAGAAGAAACCCAGTATTGGTCAGCCTGCAACACTCCTCCCCACCCCCCAACTGCCTTCAAAACACCAGGCGACTGTTTAAGAATCCCTCTCTGAAGAATCCTCCCACAGCCTTGCTGCTCTCCTCTGCCTAAACCCCTTTTCAGGAAGAGCCTCCCAGATGCTTTGAGCACTGCTAGGCTTGTGGCAAGATCCTGACTCCCGACGGATTATGAGAAAGTCGTGCGTGCAGCAGGCTTTGCCAGTTTGCTGTACTTCCTCGCCGCTTTTGGCAGCCTCGCTTTGCTGCCAGTTGTGATCAGGGCTTTGCTGGGCTTCTTGTAGTTTCTCTCTGTGTGTGTCTGCCTCAGATATGAAAGGCCAGTGGGTGGGAGACGACTTTAGAAGAAGGGGCAGTTGGCTTGAGAGACTGCACTCTGCGGAGGAAATTCTTGGAACGTGGAGGAATTGCTAGAGAATGGGTTCTTTCAAGGCCTCCTCCAAACCCTGCAGGCAGCCAAAGGCTCTCTGTGTGTGACTTTCTTGTGGTGTTAACTGATTCTTTTCTTTCCCCTCAGCCATATTTTTTTCCCATGCCTTGCAGCTGTTTGCAAGTAGTGGGTTTTAATTCCCCGGGTTCCACCTGAGAGAGAGGAGACATTTACCTTCGCAATCCCAGCTGAAAAGCATTGTAGAACACCAGGGCCTGGAAAGAATATATTCCCTACAAATATTGGGCAATGGAATATAAAAGACTTTAGGAAAGGGACTGGTTTTTTAAAAAGCCTTATCATCATACAGACATTAAGTACATTATGCTACATTTACACAGGAATCAGCTGCTGGTCACCCCCCCCCCATCTCAAAAAGGTTGTTCCAGAGCTACAAGAAGCATTTAAAAGGGCCAATTAATAGTATTTCTCTGGAACCGTTGTGTCAAATTCCTTGATGTGGCCATGACATCCACTCTGTGTGATCTGCCTTGTGGCTGCAGTCAGTGATTTCAGCTCAGCTGAGGCAATAGTTCCCCAGCAATGATTTC